ACACTCTTTCTTCCAGCCCTTATAAAGTACCCATTTCCTGCCCTCTTCTCTCCTGTACTCTCTACACTCCTTGTTCTCTGTTGCAAGTTCTAACTGTCATCCTGTCATATGTTATAGGTGCAGTTTATTGCCAATTTTTCACACACTACCCCCAAATTTTACCTCCCTTTCCCCTTCCTGTAACAGCTAAGCTCTGTGTTGAAGAGTGTCTTTGTATGTATATAAAGAGACATGTACTATAGATATGTTTTGTTTATCTGAGCTGTTTTCTTTTTGTCATATTGTGAGAACAGATCAAGAGGGAAGTGTGGTTGGTGATAGACAACAACAGGATTCATATCAATGTCACAAAACAGCTCCAATGCATCAGGTGTCAGATGAGAGGGGTGGGGATGATTTTAACATGTCACTGTATGCTGAAGATGAAAGAAGACAACTTGAAGACAGGCGAGAGGACTTGTTAAGGAAGCAGCGTGAATTGATTGAACAAAAACGGCAAATTCAGAGAGAACAGGAAGAGATTAATCAGTTTATTCAACATCAGAAGGAGAAGCTGTATGCAGAAGACCATGATTATGAACCTCCACATTATGTGCAGAAGGAAAGTAAGGTTGAGAGATTTATGAAGCTAGCAAATGCTCTTTATGTTTGTGACCAGGATCAGTCAGGTAAATTTGAACACAATAATTCTCCTTACCAATTTTTAAGGAATTCTTTGCTGGTTATTCTTGAAACTTTTCTTTTGTCATACAATAGTTAACGTTCAGACACATGTAGATTCCATGTTGCTGTGTGTCAGTTAACAAATAGTAGATCACAGCTGACGTCAAAATGTTGTGAGAACAAAATGTGGCTCACAATGTGCAGTCACCGTTGATTTTCTTACCACACTTTATGTCTTCTGTGATCCATTTCTGTACATACTAATGGCAACATGGAATTGATTTTTTTATGTGATAAAAAATATAATGTTTTTAACCCTTTAACCCCTAAGAGAGACTGGCATCTAATTTCTCCTAACATTAAAGTCAAGAGAATAAATGAACTGATCACCAACTACAGAAGCTCTTGATTGTTAGACAAATTCTTCTCGTCAGCACCTTAGTAAATGTACAGAGAACAGTATGGAGAATATGAATACTGATGTTAGGGTGTAAATGGTTAATTGTGATATCATCTGTGCATCTTTCCTTTGCAGATCATAAGTAAGAACTCATCAAATGAGTGTGTAATTCAGCTTATCATGTAAACAATATTCTTCAATTGACAATTTCTGATTTTTTCCACTCTGCTGGTATTCAAATGTGTATTTCTCTCTTTGTTATTTCGCTCTAAATTTTTTTTTCTGTTATTCTCATGAAGGTCTCATAGAGGCAGACATAGCTCGTCGATTACTGAATAACTACAACCTTGTTAATCAACTGGACTTCTCTGCCCAGCTGATTGAAAACACGATCAAAAGTTGTTCAACCACAGATGACAAAGTTAGTGTGGATGATTTGATAGATGAACTTAAGAGCCATCTTTAAAAGAGGTGCTTGTTAAAAAATGGTGTTCATTTGTGTGGTGTGTAATGGGATGAACATGGTGCTTTCATTTCATATTCAGAACAATGCCTTTCTTCGTGTATAACATTGTTCTCGAGGTGAAAGATTTCCTTGTCTCAGGAAAACTAGCATTGATAGGTTTAAACAGAGTGCCTGTTCAAAAACTTGTAAATATAGAGAGAAGACTGCTTTCCAAACAACAAGTCATGTTATCAGGAGACCTCTTATCCTTAGCCTCTGAGGGGTTTGAGGGCCCGATAAGCCTAAGAATAAGCTAAGAATGAGTTGTACTTATAATACTCGTAAGACTTTTATTTGTATTCATATTCCCTTGATCTTGTTAATTTAAGTTTGGAGACAGGATTTTTAGTTGTAAATTTATTTATTGTAAATAATGTTGTATGTCCATGTATATAGGTATATGAACAAAGGTACCATTATCCATATTGTGCTTGAAACAAGCCTAAAGAATGCAGAGTCTGTAAAAAGCACCATGAACTAAACATTTAGATCTGTCTAAATGGGTAATTGAAGTAAAACAAAATCTGAATGTTCTTCAAGCTAGTCAGAATTAAATTTGTTCATGGGATTACTTCCTTCGAAAGCCTTTGCATTGACATCTTATTTGAAACTTTTTGAGAACAAGCAGTCAAAAATTGTTATAAGTGTTTGATTTCATTGTAAAAGTGGGATGTCCATCCTCTGATTGTCACCTAGCTCGCTTCCATCATCTTAGTAGAGGCAACCTGGTAGAGAAAGTTGATTTGGAGGCATAAGGGGATGTCTTGCGTATCAGAGTCAAGGATCCCCGTGGGAGACTGGGCCAAGTTTAATCTCGAGCTTGAGAAAAAGATATAGGGGGGGGGGGGGGGGGGCAATCATTGCACATGCGCAAATATTGACTGCCCCGAGACCGGTAATTGGCGTGTACGTGCAAATTTCCGAGTGTTCTCATTTATCTACGCCGGAAGTGCGTCTTCCTTTTCTCCGGATTTGCGTTTTCCGACAAGACCGTACTTACAATTTTTGTTTCCGATAAGAAATAAGATATGACTGTGACCTTGTGATTATGAGGTATCGAGTTATTTTTTTGACGCAGATTTGTGGTTCAACAATCTTCAGCAGATAAGTTTATAACTTAACTAAAAACATGTCCATTTGGCGCATACAGGTCAAGTTAGCTCCTGTTTCAACAGAAATGAACCTTGGATGAGATTGTCTTTTTGCACACTGTAAAAGTTGACTTTAAACCTTCTTTGTCTTTAAGTGTCGCAAACACTGAACCGATATCAGTATCAGTGCAATCAGTGCAAAAAAAAAACACTCTCTCGCATAAAAAAACGTAACTAAAGTGGTTATTGGCCTTGGTGAAAGGCCAAGAATTACGTAAAGTTGTAAAAGTTGGATTGGAGCGGACTTTTTACTTTTTCATTTTAACTCTGGCATCGCCCATGGGACTTTTTATGAAATATAGCTGGTTTCAGTATTTGAGTTAAGATTTAATTTTCATTAAATTATTTAGTTTCCTTGTCCGGAACTAGCGACGTCATAGCTCTGGCGCATTATAAATATATCAAACAGACTGATAAATAAAATAGCAAGTCAGCAACCTGCCGGTCATTGTTACAGTAAACCGTCTGGTAAACTTAGAATCTGTTTCACGTTTTAAGTCAGAAATAATTGAGATTTCTCTCTCTGAGTAACAGCATTAAGAGAATGATGTTTTTAAACACAGCAGGTAAAATTGTTACAAAAAAAGCAGAGATCAAGTAGTGTTTCAGCGCAGTAAAAGATCAGCTGTGATATTTCCTTTTCAACTTCAGCTTTTTTTTTTCCCGAACGGATCTCCCCGAGGGGGGTAATTAATGATCAAGAATCATGCCGAGTTGCAACATTCTCTCATTTTCTAGTTCATGGTTTAACTCTGTGTTTGGAGGATAGATTTTAAAAATCTATAGAGGTGGTCGAAACTGATGTTAGTAATGAATAATTTCACCTCTTCCGTGAGCAGAGGATAGCGACCCATCATCTATGGTGCGCCATAGATGATGGGTCGGTGGCCTTTGGCCGGCTTACTGGAGTACCACTGAGAAAATATCATCAGTTCGCCCATTTACGTGAGTATCCACTTTGGCCTTGCTCAAGGTAATACTACATCCATAGAATCAAACGACCTTTTTGTAGACTGGATGACACGCACAATGCATCTGCTTCGGTCAGTTGCTTTTCATGTGACCAAAATCACACCATGGAAATATGCCATTTCATTGTGGGTTTGAGAAAAATGGATGTGCATGTTATCATGAATATAACTCTAGACGAATGATTCTTTTTTTAGATCAGGGAAAATCCTCTTTAAAAAAATTAATAATTATTATGATAAAAATTGGGACAAGCATTAGTTACCTCGAAAAGTGAAAACTAATGTACAGTGCAAAAAATGGCAGTTTCAGACGCATTCTTCCCTTCGTCTTTGAAAAACTGTTGTTGAGAAACAACCCAACTGTTACGGAAATCACGCGATCCTGATTTCACTAGACCGGTTCTAAACTTAGCATTAATCACGGAAGTTCGTGTTCAGAGCGCGTTTAAGCCTTTAAATCAAGGGGACTATGAATATCAGTTACATTTTACCTTTCGATCGTCATCAGTAGATTTTCCAAGACTCACGAAAATTGACGACCGCACTTGTTCCTAAGTCCAGTCCAGTTCCTATGAAATTTTCATAGGGGACTCGCATACCGTTACACCACACAGCATAATATCTCCTCGTATTATTTTACCTGCATATAAGTGCTAACACGTTATGTCTAAACCTTAACACTGCGGAATCACAAAGCCATGTCGCACAAGGCAAAGTACTGCGGTTGGTTGAAAAAATGCCATGAAGGTTGGAGTAGACTCCACAATAATAATGTTATGTGGAAAGACGAAGACCAGTCAGCTGTAAAAAATGTTCACAGTTTAACTGTAAGCAGTGAGTATATCGATGGGACGAAACTTCTATCTCCTTCTGTCGGTCATCTGAAAAAGAACGATCTGAGAAGATGCCATTCTTGGGGATCATCGTTAAATCGTATTGTGAAACGTAAAAGTCCTTGTAACAAGTCATCCGAGACAAAAGGTATTGTATAATTTTCTTTTTTGCTGAAATAGCACATATTTTCCTGTCGATAACCAGTAATCTGGCTTTCAGATTTCTCCTGGTGGTGTATTTTGGTTAGTTTTCCATAGATGAACCGCCTCTAAGAAGATTGACCACAACCGCACTTGACAATAGACGGATTTATCATCTATCCTGTTGCTCTTCGGTTTTAATAATCTTTAAGACGCTTCATGACCTGACAGACGCAGTTCATCAAATCAGAAAGAAGTCGATAGTGATGTCCGCTGAAAGATTTAACCAAAATTCTTGATATTTTGCAATGCTCTCTCACAGCTGCTGCGCACTTTCCTCGAAATTTCATTTGTGAGATGAATCTTAAAGAATTATTATGTCGAGTTAAAGCCCTTAATCTGTTCTCTCCGCACTATTATGTTTGTTATATGGTTTTCCAGTCCTTCGCTTGGCTATGACTCCCAGGTTATGCCTAGATCATTTTTGACAGAGGAAGGTAAGTTGGCCAACTTGCAGTTTATCAAATGATCCAAAGAAAATTTTATTTATCGTTTATGTCCCTCAATAATCAACTTCACCGGTTTCAATTTCAAGCAAAGAATACTATCTATAAGCATTTAGTACAGACGTACTATACCACGGGAACAAATGATTAGTGGCAGGTTCTGTCATGACGTTTTAATAGAAAATTTACCCTGAGGCTTTTGTTGCCATAGGACCGATTTTATAACGGATATGGGCGTGACTGCACACTGTGCATCTAAGAACACGCGAAGATTTGTTTACAAAACCTATCATTGTTAACGTTGCTAGAAGGTATCTTTGTTTTCATTTTATTAGAAAAAAAAAAGTTATCGAAATATCATCTCTCAACAATGATCGGAACACCACGTTCGTAAAGAGCACAGGATGATAAACTAAATTAAATCACCAACATTTCTCTTTCCTACTTGAAAGTGCTTTTTTTTCTTTCCGGCAATCTCTCTCTGTTTCCCATTTCACTACGATATCTTCGTCTTTCCACTTTCACCTCCATTTTCGCCCTCTTTCTATTCCATTCTCTTCCTCTCTTGATGCAAAGCCAAGAAAATAGCACTTTATTGTCTTGGTCGAGTTAATTCAAGATATCTCATCTCCTGTTATGTCGTCGGTCTCGTTTACGCGAAAATCATGTTTTGACTCAAACTCACTTAACTCGGCTTATCATGATACTGTAGATTTGAAACAAGGAGATTTACCTCTTGTGCATGGGCGTGTCAAGGCAAGGGTATTCCTCATCGATAAAATTCAATGGACATCTGTATTGCGTACGTGTAGGCTTATATCTGCAAAGAAAAAAATTGATTCAAATAATCCAGACAGCACTTTTGGTATGGATCCCTAATAGAACACCTCATCCTACTGACCGCAGGAGATTTGATTACGAAAGGGATACCCCACTCCAGGACTTCTCCAGGAGGAAATGATACAACCTGAGATTGTATGCTATACTATAGGAATGGATCCATGATAAATATGCTTGAAAGGATCTGACAATGACACGTCAGTACTCCAACAGATCAATGGCGGCTTTGGGGTGGGGTGGTGGGAGTGAT